AGTTCAGGTATTAAAGGATTTGGCAGGTGCTTCTCCTATCTACTTCCAGTTCTCATATGAGAAGCTGAAGAGCAAGCTGAAAGCTAGCTTCCTACCTAAACCCAAACTTGAGGAAGTTCTGATTCTGGTGGATATGGAAGAGAACTCTTTAGAAATCAAAATAAGTTATTGAATAATAGCACTAACAAGAGGCTGAAAGTGGGAATCCTAGCAAGTCTGCAAATCATTTCCCTGAACAGTGAAATTCAGAATGTCATTCCCATAACATCATTAACTTGAGCTGGTATAATGTATATGGCTACACCCATGTGCCCATTTTCTCTCTCCGCCTCTCACAGTCATACCCATGATCCCTTTCGTCCATTTTCTCAGCTTCATGATCCTATGTCTCACTTGCTTTTCTCTCAGTCACATTCTAGTTCCAACATAGCCATGCATTGAGCTCTGTGATTGAATCTGCCTGAGTTGCCAGAAAAGATAATGTGGATAAGGATATCTTTGGTTTCATGCTCTCTGCTTTTGCAGGATGTACATGTTTGATTATTACATCTTGATTTCAAATCTGAGTTACAATTTCCATACTTAATCTGTCTCTTTCTGGGGTATCCCAGAAGGCAAAGCTTCTTTCAGCTGAAGAAGCATGTCCCCTTTTTTCACCTCTAGTCCCAGTTTCAGTGGGTCCTTTCATGCAGGATGTTTCCAGGGTTTAAAAGGTGGTTAAGCATTGGCTTTGAACAAATACAAGTTGCTAGAGCCGTAGCCTGTGAAGAGGAAAGCATCAGCTTCATTAACAATGACTAAGAAGCAGCACCTAAAGGGGAAATTTCCCCATCTCCCATTTGTAGATTCTGTAACTTTATTTCACAGAACACAGGAAATAACTTCTGCTCTGTCTCCTGTATCTTATGTACCAACACACTGAACAGGAGCCCCATTCAGCATCGACCTTGTCTCTTCTTCCAAACTCTGTGTTCTAGATTTCAAGCCTCAATTGGTGGGGATTGAGTTTCTTTTAGGAACCCCTCCAGAGCCAATTCTTATCTTAAAGCCATGAAATTAGGAAATTGAATGATGGGTTTGGACATAGAGGGTAGTTTCCTCAAAAAGAGACAGTATAGTCCTATTTTTCCCACTCTTGTTCTGACGTTAGTATCATTCCCTTAGTCAGTGGGAATCCTTGACAGCAGATGTCCACTGCAGCCACCACCAGAAAAAAAGCTTCCTTAAATATAGGAACATCAGTGCATTTAAATGTTAAGACAAATACTAGCACCAGGGAGTCTTCCTGAGATGATCAAACCTGTTCTCCACCCTCCACCTCTCTTGGTAGAAAGATTAGGGAAATCCAACTCTTCTGTTACAACGGACCTCAGATTTAAGAAAGCTTAACCTCTTCCTCTTCAAATCTTTCCTTGCAAATTCCCACATTTCTAGATGCCAGTGTCTCTGATATTCTTCAACAGCTTGTTCAGGTACTTATTGACTTCAGTGTACCTACACAGCTCTGACAGCCAAAAATCTGTCCCCATCAGCAATACTAAGATACCATACGAAAAGGCCAGGAAATCCCACAAAGCTCAACTCATTTTCCTAACATGCAATAAAATCACCGCTCTTAAATTAGAGTAATTGGTTTGTTAAACATTAGACCAAAAAAAGCTCAGTGTCACAGTGTGCTTTAGTCATCAAACACACAAGCAGGACTTTGAGAAAGATCCAATGACCCACATGGAAATTAAAGTCCTTCCTCCCTCAGCTCATTAACATAAAGCCAGTGGTTAGCTATGTGCCTCCTGAACTTATAGATAAAGGATAAGGCTGATTCATGTTGGCCAGCTTACACATCAGGAAGTGCATCTGGGATTGTTCAATATTGTGGGTCAGGAAGCTGTGCCAGCAGTGCCTCTCCTCTATCAGTAAAGGAGATACACAACCTAGGGGCAACACTCCATCCAGCACCCAGCTAATTTGTCTTCCATCATCACCATCAGAATCCCACATTTTTAGCTCAGTCTTGGTCTGGTATCAGTGGAACCTGAGATTACTTAAATCCTATTCTGGTTCCTGAGAAAAACAGCAGTTCAAACATTTATTCAGTGTAGGTTTTCTTCAACATACTGGTCTTGCTGGTGAGCCAGAAATATCCCCTTTCAAAGAAGAGTAGGATCACTTCATTTACACTTGTCTTTTCCTCATGCCTTCCCTAGGTTTCTGCTGTTAGGGACAGGAAACAGCTCCTTGGCCTGACCCAGCATAAAAGACCTTTCTAAGCCTGTTTATTCATTCACCTTCCTGCTGACCTTAGCTAGGGGTGAGTGGATCTTGTAGTAGGGAGGCTGACAGAAGTACCTGTATAGGTTCCAAGAAGTCTAAGAAAAGATAGGTGTGTTAATTTATTTTTGATACTTTTGGGTGGAGCCCTCCTACTCATGGCAAGCTGCCATTGGAACACAAGCATACTGTACTCTTGCTTCAGAGCCTCCTTCCCTCTCCCCAAGGTTTAGCTCAAAATGATTCCCACCACAGATGTCTTTGAAAACGTTCAAGCTGTCATTGGTAAATGGAAAAGTAGATGCACAGCGTGTAACCCCTTTGTGAAGAAACTGTCTCTTTGCTACAACATTCGCTCAGATCTTGTTATTATTCTCTGTGGTGGTGCGATTTTGTTTCTTTTTTTGGAAATCATCCCTACAGACTAGTTGTGATTAAATGTCTGATGTTTAAAGCTTCTATGAGCCTTTAAAGTCCTGTTTTGCAATTTGGGCTTTAGGCCTGGGAGGTCTACAGTTCAAATCTCAGCACATTCCTCACTGCTGTTTTTAATTATGATTTGATATGGACATTATTGCTGCAGGGATCTCTCTCACACTTCAGAAAACAGTTTACTAAAAGTCAGGAGACGCCAATCAAGTTGGGTCCTAGTTCAAAAGAACAAGGGCTGTAGCGGCTTCATTTTCTGCCCACAGAAGTATTTGGTTGATGTTTAGAAGTGACATACCTAGGGGAAGGAGGGAAAATTTAAAAAAACAAGGGGCAACCTAAAAACAAAAGACTCCTAGGGGCTTGGGATATGCTTAGTCCTGGATCACCTAGAGAAGCGCTTTGCAGACTCCATAGCCTGCCCCTCCTTGTCTCTCTCACTTAACTGCAACATAAGTTTGCACTATTGCACTTTCCTTCCTACAAACTGCAGATTAGAACTGGAACTGGTAAAATAACAGAAGTGAAAACAAAATTACTTGTTTAAATTTTGCTAAACAAATCAATTCTGTGATCAGGAGAATACATTCACAGTTTATTTCCTCAGCTCTGAAAATATATTTGGCACAGATCAAGGCCCACTTCGCTCGAGCATTATCTCTCCCTACAGCTGATAAGTGAAGCAGAGGAACTACAGAAGCGGAGCTTTCAACAGAGAAGTGACAGTCCCCAATCTCATGGCTTCTCACACCAGCTCTGCCAAGCCATAACCCTGGCAGATTGTGGAAAGCTCAGTTATTTTCCTAAATGTGCACATCTCCGTCCAAGCTCTCCCTGTCTTTAATATATAATAATGAACCAGTGGAAAAGGTGTCTTGATTTTACACCCTCATTTCTGCTTAGCTTTGGTTTTCTTGGGAGTGGGTCTGAGCCATCCCAGCTGAGAAGGAAAGTCCTTTTCACGAAAGCATGCTGTCGGGCTGCTGATGACTTTGGCTGCAAGGCAGCTTTGATCAGGAGCTCTACACTGAGTTAGTATAACCACAGACACTTTAGTAAAACTGCTTTTTATTATGTAAACTATACCCACGGCTGCCCTGAATTAAAACAATTTTCAGATGGGAGTCTTTCTATGAAGGGACCATTTCATTTCACTTTGCTTCTTTTCTGGTTTCCTGCGTTAAAAAAAAAGAAGGAGCCTGTACCATGGAAATTGTTTGAAATATTGTATATTCATTTTAAGATCTGCTACTAGGTCATGCTGTATCAGCGTATTTTGAATCGATCAAGAAGCTAGACTTTTATTTGTCAAGCTTTGATTAAATTTTGTGGTTAAAAATAACAAAAAATGGGGAAAACAAGACCAGAACTCTATTTTATAGTAGTCTGTGTTAGAAAATATAGTAATCATAAGTTGTTTTGTAAGATCAAAGAACGAGAAAGGAACCTGTATCTAACACCAATGTTATGAAGAGAAAGTCCTCAGGTTCAGCAGACAAGGGTGCTGAAGGAGCAGTGAGATTAGACCATCATTATTTTCCTTAGTGTTAAGATTCATTGACCAGGCAGTGAGAAAAATATTTTGGAATTATTGTATAAGTCATATGCAAATAGTTGAATTTCCAGGCTCTGGAACTCCATCTGGGATTTAAACATGACATTTACATTCAGTTATCTTCACCTCTAAACTCATTTTAAGAGTGAGTCTGGTATCAGAAAAATTAGACAATGGCAGGGATGTCATAACACCAGTTTGGACTTTTTCTTTAAGTATTTCAAAACCTTGTTTGGAGCTTTCAGGCCCAGTAGATGGTTTTCATATTTTATTTGGTCCTCAAGGTGAGCCTTCTAAATGTGAATGGTGGGAGATTGTGGTGTGGCATTGAAATTATTACAAACATTCTATTTTCCCCTTGAGGATGGAAAGGTAAGACAGGTTCCCAGCTTCTTGAAGTTCCTGCAATACCTATGTAATCATATTGTTTATCATACTACTTGTTTAAAAAGGAATGGAGACATATGAGTTGTTTCAAGACCATATCTATTTTATGGCATATACCTCCATCACCATGCAATTCACAACTGCTTTACTACCGTGCTCCAGAAGCAGAAGAACTGGAGGTGCTCAGGACTGTAAGTTGCATAAATACATTAATTTTCTTTCATAGGGAGCCATCTAGAAATATATAAAAACTCAAACAGCTTGAGAATACTGGTAATAGTTAAAGTTCTGGTAGCAAAAAACTCACACATGTCTGACTGCAAACTTGGACACCTCAGAGATAAGCAAGTTTTCTTACCTGCATTCTTCAGGAATTTTAGCAATGACAGGTCATCATCTTAAATAGTCTTCACATGTGCAGACCATTTTTTTTCAAGTTTTGACTGAGCTGAAGCCCAAGTTCTTGGATACTTCACACTAGAGCCTTAGTATCATGCTTTGTCAGTAGCTGAAACACTAACAGGTGGGCACACTTTATCCCAGGGAGTCTCGGTCTGGGATGAGATTGTTTGCTGTAGACAGATTTTGTTTTCCCACTTGGGATTCTCCATCCTCCTGTCCTAGACTGTTCATCACAATTGCGCCAGCCTTGTAAGGAAGGAATTTTACTAAGCCTTCCAGCCACCAAAACAGCAAAACTGGAACAAAACAGAGATACGTCTGGCTTCTTCTCTTCTGGTTTCCCATTTTCGTGCATTGAGTTACTATGTGCCCCAAGATTAAAACACTTGCACACTATCAAGGTATCTACATTCAGAATCAAAAGAATACTGTCATACTTTGCCAGTTTGCCAGCATGATCTGCCAGACTTTCCAAGCTTCCAGCCTCAGATATCATCATATCAGCAAAGAGGAAATATCAGACGATGGAGAAATGTTGTACTCCCAGGAATTCAAGCATCCCTGCTTCCCAGCCAGCTTGCTGGTTTTATAACTGATGAACTACTTGCACCCACCTACTGAAGCAAGTAACAGGCTGGGCATGCCATGACTTCCCAAAGCCACATGGTTACGGTTATATTTCCACAAATGCTCTTGAATGTTTCTAAGAGTTCCAGCCTGAGTATGAAGGTTTGTGATGTTTGTTTAAACCACGACACTAACCAAGACTGTGCTTCTTGCTGTTCTTTCTGTAACTAAAGCTTCTTTGGGATTTTTAGGGTCATTTATTTGTTTTTAAGGAAAACATAATTTGCAGGTTAAGAAAGAGTGCAGGAGGTCAGTTCTCCTGGGTGTATTCTTCTGAGTTCAGTTACCAGCTCCTCCATGAGCATCAGTGAGATAGGAATTGCACTTAATGACTGTATATAGAGCCCTTTGAGATCTTGGATGAAGCTGGTTATTGATATGCAAGCTATTCTTTTGAAGAAGAGTATTTCCTCATAGTTTTGGGCATGAGTAAGAAAAATATGAGAGTAGGTGACATAACTCTTTTCCTGCATTGCTGGCTCCAAACACTCTTGTAGACAGTAAAACTTCATGCTCCTAATCTGGCCATCCTTGAGGGATTGAGAGGCCCAGAAACTATGCCTGCAGCCAGCCCTCATGTACTGCCACTTTGTGTCCCATTCAGGGGTCAGAGATGTCTACCAAGTTGGCATTTCCACCAGTCACCCTTTAGTCCTTATCAATTAGACTGTAAATTCCTCATAAACACCTCAGGGCACAGTGTCTGTGTCAGCACAGCACCTTTGTACTAGAAAATCATTTCCAAGTTGATCCCAAGGTGGGGGAACGGCAATCTGAAGGGAGGCTGGACTCAGGTATTCACAGTCACAGCTGGGCAGATGCCCCTGATCGAAGAAGGGCTGGCAAGAAGTATTAATGCTGCTGTGAAATTACCAGCTGAATGTCAGCCTGTTTCGTTTCTTGTTTAAAATTCTCAGAATCCCTCTAAATACCTCTTTCTCCTCTGCATGGTGTGTGCTGGCCACGCTACTCCCTTTTGACACCATCCTGGCAGCTACTCCAACACACTGACTCTGCTAGGCCTCTGCTAGGCTCTGCTGGGCTTGTGTAGGCCCAGCTTTAGCCTGCTCCCTGTATTTTTCCAGTCATAAAAGCATGTTCCTAGAAAACTGAAGTGTGATCTTTTCCTGCAGATATGTGAATAAAAAAGTAAATTACAAGTCTGCTGTGTCTTATCTCATGTCCTAATAGTAACACAGCTCTGGTGTACAAATTACTACTGCAGAGGAAAAATGTATCCCTGAAGGATAAATGACACTATTAGGAACCTGGGGAAATATCTGTTTCTGGGTAAAAGAAGTGCAAACAGCTGAAGCATGAAGGGAAGCAAAATAGCACAGCTGATGTTTATAATTTCGTCTATATGTTTTGTGTGTATCCTAAAGAAAAAGTTTCCTGGAATTGTGGGGTATATCCTTAGTAGCTTATTTTACACAGAGCTGTAATGCTGGCCTACCCACAGTAGGCATGTGTTTTCCACATATGAGCTCTTTTTATGATAAAATGTATTGAGCATATGTAAAAGAAGCATGGCAACATACAGCATCTGAAGTTCCAATTATTAAGTGGTTGCTAGATGGGAAATCACTTTTACCCAATGTGTTTCAGGTGAGGACAAGAGGAAAGGAACCATTCAGAGACTTGAGTGATGGGAGCCCTGGGATATCTTGGGGCTCTCTAACCTGGCAGCAATACTAAATTCTGCAGCTCCTGGGATGAGGAGAGAGGGGCAGACTGATGCTTTGCAGCTGCTGTCCTGGAGGAAGCAGCTGTTATAGGTTGGGGAGCTAACTAAAAACCCTTACAAAGTCAAGCCATGTGTTTCAGCTCCTGAAAGAAGAAAAGGCAAGTGGTGGATGTTTCTCACAGTTGCTTGTGAAGCTCCAAGCCCCACTGGAGTGCACCCTGGCACCTACAGAGAAGCAAGCAGGCAGCAGGGCTGGGGCAGCTCAGCAACCTGCTGCCCCAGCAAACCACCTGCCCCAAAGCCAGCTCAAACATGCCTGGGGCCTGGAGCACTTGTTAAACTGCAAATGCCAAATTCTTGCATTGTACTGTACATTCAGTCTGACCCATTTGACCCCTGCCATAGTGAAACTATAGAATAATCAGTAGTATATTACTTTCAGTCTCCTCTTGCGGTCTCAAACCAAAGAAGCAGAAAATGATAGGCATGCAGAAGGATTATACTTTCATCTTTATTATGCTTTCAATCCACTGGTAAATGGGGTGATAGGCATTGAACAATAGAAAGTGTAAAAATTCAGGTTGGGAAGACAGTCAAGAACCAGGCTGTGTGTGTGTGTTTGGGTCATACCAACAATGGTGCAGCAATGATCTGAGGAGGAGCACAAACTATGTGCAAAGAGATCTCAGCCTGCAGTTAAGAAAGAAAATGCAACGGGAATTAAAAGATTGTGGGGTTTTTTTAATTCCTTTCCCCCAGGTAATATTTGACTGACTCAGTTTTTGCACATTCACATTGATTAAAGTACTACAATACCATTTGTGCTTAGGAAGAAGGTGTACATCTGCGATGAAATCCTATGTAGCCAGTGTGTATTGCAGTAGGTCTAAAAATCCTCAGGTGACAAAAAGAATCCTCAAATTCAGCTAAGTGAAATGTTGCCTGAGAAAGAAGTAATTAAAACCTGGGTAAGGCCCTTAAACACTGTAATCTGCTTTAAGCACACTCTTTCTAGAGATAACTTCTTTTAGCTCAACCTGCTCTTTTTGACAGCTGTCACATGATCTGCTTTGCATTTTTACCAGAAAGCAGGGATAAAGTTGTAGTCAAAGAGATGCAGGAGTTTTCTGAGTTCCCCAATATAGGAAAATAAAAAGCCAAAGCAATCCACCAGTGTCATACTTTACCTTTGTGTGATTTTATAAACACGGGCATGAAGGAAAGAATTACACTTTGCCCCCAGGTTCAGACTGATTGGTAAGAATCTCAGACACTTTAAGTAGGCGCCACAAATTGTGTAAGCTCTGACCTGCTGGCTCACTGCCTAGTTCACATGACAGAGATATCTGATGGTTTTGGCAAGGCAGATTGAGGTGGAAAGGTGCCTAGAAACCAACAGAAACAAGGCAACCATGCTAGGGGTTTTTAAAAGGAAACAAACAGATATGTAAGGTGCAGTTCTGTACTCTCTAGAGAGGAAAAAGGGGAATTTTTATTATAATAAATTCATTTCACTACTACTATATGGATAGGAAGCAGAAGGAACACATTTATATTTTGAAGTCAAGGGGTTCCTGAGATCCTCAGGGCTGTTTTTAAATTAATGTAATGACTGAGCATGTGCTTGGCCCAAACCAAAGTGACTCCACTTTTGCCACAGCTGTTTTAATTGTGCAACATTTTGTCTCCAGGATTTTGTGGTCTGCAAAGCTGAACAGAATAGCATATGTAAAATCATTGCTTCTCTGCTGTGCCTTTCTGATTAGGGCATTTTCCCCTTGCTTAAAGACATTAGACTGTTCCAGTGGTAAGGTAGAGGTAGGCACGCTGGCAGCTGCCAGATGTGATACTGGAATGCCATCCAGAGGGACCTTGACACACTTGTGAGGTGGGCTGATGCCAACCTCATGAAGTTTAACCACGTCAAGTGCAAGGTCCTACACCTGGGTCAGAGCAATCCCAGACACAGCTACAGGCTGGGCAGAGAAGAGATTCAGAGCAGCCCTGCGGAGAAGGACTTGGGGGTGCTAGTCAATGAGAAAATGAACATGAGCCGGCTTCAGTGTGCACTTGCAGCCCAGAAAGGCAACCGTATCCTGGGCTGCATCAAAAGGAGCGTGACCAGCAGGTCGAAGGAGGTAATCCTGCCCCTTTATTCTGCTCTCGTGAGACCTCACTTGGAGTATTGTGTACAGTTCTGGTGTCCTCAGCATAAAAAGGACATGGATCTGTTGGAACAAGTCCAGAGGACAGCCACGAGAATGATCAGGGGACTGGAGCACCTCCCATATGAAGATAGGCTGAGAAAGTTGGGGCTGTTCATCCTGGAGAAGAGACGGCTGCATGGAGACCTCATAAAATCCTTCCAGTATCTGAAGGGGGCCTATAGGGATGCTGGGGATGGACTCTTCATTAGGGACTGTAGTGATAGGACAAGGGGTAGTGGGTTAAAACTTAAACAGGGGAAGTTTAGATTGGATATAAGGAGGAAATTCTTTCCTGTTAGGGTGGTGAGGCACTGGAATAGGTTGCCCAGGGAGGTTGTGAATGCTCCATCCCTGGCAGTGTTCAAGGCCAGGTTGGACAAGGCTTTGGGTGATATGATTTAGAGCGAGGTGTCCCTGCTCATGGCAGGGGGGTTGGAACTTGATGATCTTAAGGTTCTTTCCAACCCTAACTATTCTATGATTCTATGATTCTATGAAGTTAGAAAAACAAGATGTTGTATGCAGGAAGCATCATTCATAAAATTACTGCTCCTGAGTATCCTTTCCCCAACTTTTGTTCAAGTGCATCTCTCCCCTGGTAGTCCAGTATTTTCACAAGTGAACCTCAGAAAAGGGTTGCTTATACAAATTCAAGCAAAGCTAAGAAGAAAGTAAGGTCCATGAAGTGCTTTTATCTTCTGCCACTATAGATTCTACCACTCTCATCCCTAAAGACAGAGCAAGAAAGAACCAATCAGTGAAGAAGAGAATCCCTGAAATCCAGAAAAGTGAGGGCTGAAAGGAAGGGAAAAAGCCATTAACACCATACTCCAGTTTGGTCTCTCTCAAACTTTCTTTCAGCGATCGCTTTGCACAGTCTCTTCCCACAGGTATTTTTTCTTCACTATGTTCCCTACCTGGCATTTGACTGGGGATTTAGCTGCCATTAGTAAACGAAAGACAGCAGGTAATTATGAATCAGGATGTCAGAGAGGGAGAATTATTTGCCGAGTGATTTATTGATGAATAATTTCATACTAATGTTCTTGCACACACCGAGGTCATATTACTCACAAGCAATTCCTACCAAAGCAGTTCAAAAAGAAGCTTTGTTCTAATTGTATTCATACAGATACATACTACAACTGAGCAACATCAGGATATTTGCCATATGCTTGTCTGAATTCTCGACTTTTAAAGTCTGTTCCCTACTGCCACATTTATTTGATTTATGTGTAAAATTTGTAAAATAAGCTCATAGAAAATGAGTCCTTAAAGAATCTTACAAAACCTGTAACAAAAAATATTCACCAAAGGACTCCTCTCTGCTATTAGTATTTATACTGCTGTGGTGCCTGAGGCCCCAGCTGAGATCAAGGCCCCGATGGTGGCCAGTGTACAACTAGATAATGAGAGACAGGTTTCCCTTGCTGCCCCGCAACGACAAAAAAAAGTTAAATAGACTGAGAAAAGGTGACTGAAGAAATAGATCTCAGAAAAGAGCCCACTTCTCCTATTTCTAAGTCAAGGACCTCATCAGTAAGATCACTTAAATATGTACCCAAAATATTATTGTCAAGTATTCATCAGGCAAAATGTTCGGTAGTGATCCTGGCACAGGTGCTCTGATGGCTACAGGGCACAGATGCAGAGAGTTCCTAAGTCACTTCTTGCCCTGAAAATGTGCAAAACCTGAGTTTTCAAACAAAAATAGCCTACCCCCTCTCTCAGCTGCTTGTTACAAAAGAAATAAGTGGGTCCTAAACCAAATGGAGCACTGTAGTGGAAAATGGTTGATCTGACATGGTGTTGCAATGCATTGCATCAGACAAGAACAGAAAGGCCCATCTTCACAGAATATGAGCTCTATAAAGCTCATGTTACTAATAAGACATCATTACTAATTTCTTCCACTTCTTAGGTTTGATTTAGAATATGATTTGTAGACAATGATAACACATCTACTTAACTTCTTAAACAGAAATCCACAAATTGTGGAATTGATTCTATCATGTCTGAGACAATGGGCTGCCTTAAGGTTTATCTCAAAGGATTGTAATGTATAATTAGCAAAATGTCAATTCCTTAGTATTCGAATTCACGGTAAAAAAATCTATGCTAAATTGGGGTTAAAGCTGAACTTATGGAACAGCAATCTAGGATAATACCAATAGCCTCACAATCACTGTATCATAAAAACAACCTGTTAAAATTCAAAAGAACAAAATTAAGGTTAAACTTACAGAAAATTAAAATATATATTAATGGTATGGAAATTCCATGCAGTCATTCCTTGCTCTGTCCACTTTCAGAAAAAAACCCTCATGTGAAATATCTCATTTTTAAAATCATCATCAAATGTCATTATCATTTTCTCTCAAGAATATTTGTTGTCACTAGAAGACCTCTCATTCTACTGGGATAATCAGACAAAACAGTAGCTGATTGTGTAAGAAAAGACTAAAAGAGCTTTCCTTGTTTAATCAGAGTAAATCAAGCAAGCTTTAGTCAGGGAGAAAATATGATTGTTCCTTATAAACATTACAGTTTACAGAGAGGGAAGGATAACTACTGCATTCAAGAACGATGTTAACACAAGAAATAATGGGAATAAATTGCCCATGAGTGAATTTAGCACTAATTGAGGATGATCCCAACTGTCAGGGCAGTGATGCTCTGAAATAAGCTTATATTTGGAAAGTGAAAGCTACAAGTTTGACTGTTAAGGTATAGATTGGTAAATTCCTTAGGTGAATTATATTACAGGGTTTTCGTGACAGTACTGACCTCAATTAAATGACCTAGGAGATCTTTCTCCTTGTCTGTAATATAGCTAGTGCCAGCAGCTGGTTCACAGGAGAGTGAAAGAAGAATTCATCTTTGTTAAGCACTGCCAAGGCTTCATGGCTATTTGAATTAGATGTTTTTAAAAAAAAAAAAACAGTCATTCAGCTGTGTACAAATTAATACTTCATCATGACTGTGATCAATATGAAATG